TTTTATTAAGTCTTGAGCAATACAAACTTTAAGATATTTTGTAGTACCACGGGGTGAATTTTTCCGAGGTCCTCTGTAGTTCATTGCAATTTGGCCGGGACCTGGTTCAGCGATTCGACATTTTATTGCTGAGCATGTCATCTCCGAATAATGTATAAATACGCTGGCGCTAAACGAAACTCGGAGGACTCCATTCCGTTTTATTCACATGCAAGTACGTACTGTCGCATATTATCATCCATTACCCTCAGGGTAGACCTTCAATCGCACGATCAAGATAAAGGTAGATTAATGTAAATAGATCTAAACGAACAAGAAAATATACTTAAGTACTATCAAGAAGGTCAAATACCTGTAAGGTGTTTAAATCAGTATAATCAACCACTGTGTTTGAAGGTTTCACCCTTCATTTTCGTTATAGTTTGATCGGGTATATATTCGACGACTGTAAGCATTGAGAGTCCAGTTTGAGTGGGCATTTTCAACATTTTTTGCTGCTTTTCGAACTGTTGAAATTGATAGGTATCGTGTGAAAATAATATCTCGAGGAATTTCAACATATACCCTCATTTCTCGTGATTGTAAAAATTGCACAAATATATACTCAAGTTTCGAATGCAAAATTCGGCAGATCATTTAGAGCTTACGTTTTGTGAAAAAATAATTTTGTCATGAAATATTAATCTTTGGGTGATCTTGCATCATATGTCAGTGAAATCTCGCGAGCTGGCGATCCGCCAGGTTCCACAACCCGCCATGCCACGACAACTCAAGAGCGCCATCGCGATTACTTATCTGGCAGTGGCCACAGCCACCAGTTCTACCGTCACTGAAGTTGACGAAAGAGCGCATCCACCACGCGCGCTGCAGTCTTCGCATGTATACGACGAACGCCGCATCGTCCACTTGGTGTTCAGCACAGGGTGCCAGCAAACCCACCGCCAGTTCCTGTCGGCCAGCCTTCAGCTGTCGTTGGTCCGAGTTCACCATGCCGGTCCGTTGACAGAGATCATCTCAGGATGCTCGCCCGTGGCACAAGCAGAGATCGAGGCCCAACGAAAGTACTACCCTGACTTTCGCTTGCACTTCACCAAGAACTATGCCAAGTACGAGAGCCCCACGTTCACAGAGACGTACAACGCGTACAACAAACCATTCGGTCTGCGCGACTTTCTCCACCACAGCGCCAAGAAGGACAACCTCGCCGTCGCATTCATCGACGCCGACTACATGCTGTTCAAGCCGCTCGTCGTCAACACGGGGGCCAAGTGGGCCAAGTACTACCAGAACACGACCATGCGGCGGGCCGAAGACATCACGGACACGGTCGAGAACGGCGTCGCGCTCGCGCAAAACATGAAGGCGTTCTTGGGCGGCCGGTGGTACAACGATTTCAACCGCACGATTCTCAACCTCGTGTGCGGCACCAAGCCATGCGCCAACGTGTCGAGCGCGGACGCGTTCGAGTACTTTGAACCCACGGGAACGCCGTACATCCAGACGCGCCACGACTGGTTGCATGTGGTCGAGGACTACTGCAACTTCACCGTGAAGGGCCGCCAAGTGTCCAAGGATGACTGGATGATCGAGATGTACGCATACGGCGCCGCCGTGGCCAACAACAACGTCAGGCACACGCTGCTGCAGCACTTGGGCCCGGCCACACCCGAGTTCCTCAACACAGAGTACTGGAATTTCATCGAGGAAGACATGCCGAATCCGTGCGCCGACCCGTTCCACGTCGTCCTCCCGGCCGATCCTCCCGTGGGCATCCATTACGCCATGTACTACGGCCTCCCCGACACGATTGACGAAGGCTACATGTACTACAAGTACCGCATTCCGTCGGACATTCTCGACTGCGACAGCCAGCTCTTCAAGCTCCCGCCCGCGTCCGAGTGGACTCAAATCGATGTGCTGTACAAGGACAATCCCAAGAAACGCCAGTGGAAGCGCCACACGGTGTGGCTCCAGTGCACACTGATCAAGTACGGAAACGAAGTCCTCCGCACGATGAAGGCACACACGTGTCCCGACGGATTCAACTCGCACCAAGGCGTTGTCATGCATGCCAAGGATACCCCCCGAACCGCATTGCCAACACCGTGATTGAATGTACCATGTTGGAACGAAAACCCGGAGTCGCGCGTTGTCGGCGAAGCCACAGGTTGGTACTTGGGCCAACGGCGGCGTTGAATGCAGGCTGGACGAGTTGGCGAGATGGGTCTGTGGTGGGGGCGGTCTTGCTACTGACGGACACAGGCACAGGCATCGAGTTGGACGGTTCCATCGCGCAGACGTGTCATTACCGTCTAGCTCGTCGTAGAGAGAGACGCTTCGTGCAGGATGCCGTGATGCTGGGGGCTGCTTGC